GTGGGAAATGGTTCTGATTCGGCTCATGTTGGAGTGTGCTGACTGCAGATACGGCCACTGAGATGGGGACAGAGGTCCTCATTGTAAATTTCGTTCAGCTGGTCCGCATGGTCCCCGAGAGCCAATAGCAGAACCCCCTCGAGGAGACGGTAGACAAGACGACGGTTGAGGCAGGGCTGTTGGAGGAGGGTGAAAACGCGTTGAACGCCCTCCCGCGTGGTCTCGCCGCCCAGATATTGGGCCAGTTCCTCTGCAAACAGAGAAGTTTGGTTAGACGGAAGGTACGAAGTAAGTTCGATCGCAGCTAAGCGAACACCTGTGTTTGTAACGTTCTTATTTCGTCAGAAATACATCGCTAACTCGCAGTACAGTAGTCGCCAAAGATAACGCAACATGTCGACATAAGCGAAAGATTGATACTCTTTCGCTAATTGGCATTGACTCAGGTTGTGATACTGATTATCCTGTAGACTATTCTGAAGTCATTTCAGTCAGGACAGGAGGCGGGCTTTTTAACGAGCTTCGTTCTGACCACTAGCAAAACGCATCTACTGCAAAAACTGGCTACTCAAGTAGGATGCCTTTTTTATTGTTTATTTTGACAGCCTTTATAAATTTAAATATATTTATGAAAAACATGCACGAAAAAATTATTTCCTGTACTTATTTGGTAGCAAAGTACGCCTTCTTTAAATTTTATACTCAAAGGAAGGGTAGCTTGCGGTTTCAAAAAAATTGCTAATTATGAGCATTTTTACAACTGTGAGGTGTTTGAATGAATGCAGGTGTTTCACCGATCTAGTCAAGGAACAATTAAGTGGTGTTTATTCATAATACATCGTATCCGTCAATTTATTAATGCTGTCAATACTGTATAAAGCATATTCCAAAGCTGCTGCAACATTTTATGAGAACTCTACGACTTCTTCCTCAAACTGTAGACGAAAACGTACATTTCCTTAAACAGGATGTACACAGTGCGCAGTTTGAAAACCTTGAATTAGAGTGAAGTAGATAGTAGGTTTCAGAATTGTTCGGTAATTTAGAAACTTTTAAAACCGAAAAATATCCCTTCTTTAAGTACAGAATTTAAAGAACGCATAATTTTCTACCAAACGAGTACCAGGAATATTTTTCATGCATGTTTTCCATAAAATGTATTTGAATTTATGAAGGCAGTCAAAATCAGTGATAAATACGAATACTATTTAAGTAGTTACTATTTACACTACATACGTTCTGTTAAAGGTCAGAACGAAACTCCTTGATAAGCCCGCATCCTATCATGACGTAATAAGCTTCATGATAATCAGTATCACAACCTGAGTCAATGCCGATTAGCGAAAGAGTATCGACGATAATCAGTATCACAACTTGAGTCAATGCCGATTAGCGAAAGAGTATCAGTCTTTCGCATATATCGGCATGTTGCACGAATTCTGGCGCGTACTGTAATCTGCATAACCGTCACCCTAATCCTCCAAACGTAAGCAATAACCCTAAGCTCCGCCAGCCTCGCTACACCTTTGTCAGTTGCGAGCCCATGAGAGCCGAAACACTGCTTTCACCTGAGACCAACACCGCACGCCAACCCCTTCACCTGACGAAGGCTCAACCAGTCCAGACACGCGACTCGAACATTAACTCTTACAATTAGAAACCACCATAGTAATATTGTTCCAGTTAAAATGTTCGAGATATACTATTAGGCGCATTGTGGTTCCTGTTGTTTAGAAAATTGTCTTGAAAAGTAGCAGAAGATAGCCAGAACAAGCATTGAGAGGGGGAGAGAGAGAAATCAAAGGGACTTTTGGGTGAGTTATTTTCAAACAAGAAGCGGTTTATATTCGGTGCTGAGACATAATTTGACTAAAGCCATTAACCACTCGGGTAGCACACGGGCCAAGACTGGTTCCAAGGCCAGTGTCCGTAAGCCAGGTGGTCGAGCAGTCATCACGACAACATCCAGCAGGGGTAATTACATTTTAGTAGGCAATAAACCGAATGCCGTCCACCAAGTAATCAGCGCACAAGCAGGCTACTACCCCCGAATAAATGTAGAAACGTTACT